TGAACAAACAGGTTTAGGTTGGTTTTGCTCTGTGGTGAATATATTTTCCAATCCTAGCTGTAGTGGCATTCAAAAACAATCATATCTATTTATGGTTACATTTATCTTTACATATTTTGTATATATTAGAATTGTTCATTTCCTTGAAACTCCAGTAGATGTAAGTGGTTAAATTTTTCATGAAAATGGAACTTACTATTTTGCATTGGACAATGACAAAAAATCCAAGTGGAGGCGCATTTATGCATATAATTTGTAAGATCTCCCCAGAAACTGAGGAAATATACTCACAGTTTTGGTCGTTTTGTCACATTGTGAATATGGGCCTTTGAAGTCAGCATTTTGAGCTTCTGTTTTGCTCTGTTTGATGGTAGCTGCTAATGCAATACCGAAAACATATACAAGTTTTGTGTTCTACTAATGGATGCCTTATGCAAATACTGTCACAGTGACTCATAGTATTGTGTCCAAAAGCAAAAGACTGCAGAAGCCAGTGCCCTTGCATTCAAACAAAGCTCTTGAAAAATTGACTTAGACGGTTTGGATATTGTGAATGGGAAACCAAAGAGTTTTCAGCTCCCCTTGATAACACTACCCACCTAGCCTCATCTCAGTTCCTGTTTCATACCTCTGAAATAGCTGACACTACACAGATGACCAAGAAAATGCTGCAAAGATACTCAGGAGTTCTCATCAAAGCATGGAACCATTGATATTAGTGACTAGGATTGCTACTGGTTGTTGAAAATGATGACAACTTGTCACAAGCTGCTTCGTGCTTTGAGTCATCATGAAACAGAATAATGGCAGGGAAGGAAAGGAAAGGAAGGAAATCCTGCACTCCAAATAGGTCATCCTGCCCTATGTGCTGACTGTCGAGTTGTATGCAGATCCAGACAAAGCCTCAATTGTGTGAAAGTGTTATTGAATTGGAGAGCAACTGATGATAACAGTAAAAGTGTTGTCTCTCCCATAAAAGCTAGTAGATGCTATAAATTAATAATTATAAATCTGACAATTTCTTCCTATTTTGTCTCACAATAATGTTGCTTGGCATCTGTTTGAGAAAATTATATGTTTTTGATGTAGTGCTTTTTGGGTTAGCTGAAGAAAACCAGCTTGCTGTTGCTTTCACAGACTGTGACAATATTATCAGGGAAATCTTTTAGTTTCTCAGAGCTGGACCTTGCCACAGGCAAGTTTCCTGCCATTATGATGTGTATTAAAGAAAAGGAAGGCATAGTTTTCTATTCATGTTTACAGGTTTGGCCACAAGATTGCACATAATTTCAAGGTGTGTGAGCGGCTGTCTGATTTTCTAAAGTGTTCTATTTATCTTCCATACTTTAGGATAATGTGCTGCTGCTTACTATTGTGTGTCTTCTTAGACCCTGCTGAGGCGTATTCTGAGATCTCTTTACAGATGTCAAGAGAATAGTTTTCTAGGTTTTTCAAAAAATAATTTACACCTAAAGAATTTTTGAACTGGTGGGAACACGCCATTGCATGATTTTAATTTCATCATCCATGGGCAATTAGTATATCATTGGATATTATTAAGACCTCTCGGTGTTGTTTTCTTCTTCTCTGAAATATTATAATTCCATTGCTGAATTCTCAGGTTTCTAGTTACTTTTTCATACTTGTCCTGACCAGCCCATATTTATCCATAAACACAGACATGGATTTTTGGCAAAATATTCAATATGGCCAATTGGACTTCAGTGCTCAGTTGTCACACATGCACTTCAAGTAAAGAAAGCAAAGGCTACAAGGCGCTGATCAGAAATGGGGAACTATAGTAAGGCCAGATATATACATTATCCACCACTATTGAGATCGGCTAACTCAGGAGGGATTGAATTTGGGACCTTTATGAAAAATTACTAATTAAACTACAGTCCATAAAAATTCAGCCTTCAAGTAAGAAATTTAATTAAATATTGCTGAATGTCCACATGAGAATGTCATGTCAGAGTGAGACAGATGTTAAGTATGCAGGTTTAATCGTGTGAAGACAATTCTCGTTCCTTATTGAAATAAATTATTTGGATATCAATGTTTCTTAAAAGTTTAGACAAGGCTTAAATAAGGAGAATAGTTAAGTTGAGTCGTTAAATTTGGGGTCTTTACGAATGGGGATACAAGTAGCATCGGTCAGGATCTTCCATCAGTGCCAATATACATGCATTGATCCTGCCTGCAAAGGTATCTGTGACCTGACCCTTTTGCAATTTTTCAGCAGCAGCATCTGATTCTGGCTGAAGTATAGATGAGTTGGTGCAGATATCCCTGGGGAATATTCCCATAAGCAAGATGGAATATTCTGCACTTGCTTGGATAAGTACAGCTCACTCAAGAAGCTCAACAAACAACAAAGCAGTCTACTTCATTCATGCTCCATCTAACACCTTATATATTCACTCCCTAAACCGCAAGTGCACCGTGTTATTCTTGCATATCTTACACAAGATGTACTTCAGCAACTTATGAGACTTACCTCCACAACAACATCCAAACAAAGAACAGTACAGCACAGGAACAGGGCCTTCAGCCCTCAAAGACTGCACCAACATATGATGCCATTCTAAACCAAAAACCTTTTGCCTTTATGCTGTCTAAATCCCTCTATTCCCTGACTATTCATATATCTGCTAAACTGCCCTCTTTCAGTACTACTGTGATATTCTCCCTCTCTATCTCGACTGAAACATCGAAATCCCACTGCCAGCCTTGTCCCTCTCTCAACCAAGTCTCTGTAATAATCACAACATCCTAGTTATACGTATTAATCCAAGCCTATGACTTTTGCTCTCTGGAAGCACAAGCACAGTAGATTCCTGAAAACATCTGTACCTACAAATTCCCCTCCAAGTCACACACCATCTTGAACTGGAAATATTAACCTTTGTTCATTTGTTGCATCAAAAACCTGGAACTCCCTAACAGCATTGCGGGTCAACACCAGATGGACTGCAGTGATTCAAGAAGATGGTTCGCTACTACTTCTGAAGGGCATTTAGGGAAATGCATCAAATGCTGGCCTAACTAGTGATGCCCCAAAACAGTCAATGAATGAAGTAGATAAATGAGCCATCAGTCTGGCTTGTAGACTGTGCTTGTTATGTGGGACTTCTGCTCTTACAAAATGGAAGTGACTCTACATTACAACAGTGTCACTTCAAAGTACTTAATTGCTTCAGTGAAGCATCTTGAGATGTTCCGGGTTGGATTAAATGCAACTATTTTTAGTGACGTAAATTTGACATAATGTATGGTGGTGAAGTGAGAGGAGCCAAGATGAAATTCACTCCCTAAATTTCTCCATTTCATTTAGCTCATAGTGATCATTATGAGTATTTATATATCTACCTCCACCTTGCTGTTTTTCCTTGCCATTTATTCTGAGTTTTCAAATATGACAACATGTTTGTGCTACTTATGTCTTGTTGTTGATTGTGTGAATTATTTTCTGCAACCCAGTGATTTACATGATCAGAGCCCTAAACACTGGCAGGACTAATTGTTTAATAGCTTTGATATTTGTCTTAATATCCTTCTATTTTGAACTAGATGTTGTCAATTTTACACTTTTCTTCTTGTAAATTGACTGTGGCATGATATAAAGTCAGTTAATTTATCTAATTTAAAACAGTGTGTTGTTCACCTTCAAGTTGGGTGCACATTTAGTGTCACCTTTCTGAACTGATTCATAAAAAATATTTTTCTCACTCTATTTATTCCTTTGACAGGGATGATTTTTGCTTGACTTTGCAGTCTTAATCAAAGAGATTTTGGTTTTTCACAATCCATAAGATTTGGCTAGTTGCTGGTCGTATTTCTTCTAATGCAATTTACCACCATATTTAAAATTCATGACCTTTGTTGACCAGCAAGATCTGATTTTTTTTCTCTCTCATTGATATTTCCACTCACAATGCTTATGGCATTGCTAGATTTAACTTTATCATGCTGGCTTCAGCTGCTTCATGAAAATCAACTGCTTTCTGCACATTGAATTTCTTTCCTCTTAGCAGTCTAGCTGACCTTATTTTCAATGACATTGACTAGAATTCTGTCATTAAAGAGCCTGTACACGAGGGCTCTGTATTCTGAGGAATTGACCCATTTGTGTAAATCTATCATATATTGATCAATGTTTCCTGATCTTGAAACTTTGGAATGTATGTGTCTGGTGCTATTAAACACAAGTCTTTAATTCATAATGTCTCTGTCGTGTTACCTATTCTACAGTTTTGTTTATTAGTATCTTGAAGTTCCATATCTCTTCTACCTCACCAATTGCGTTGTATATTGTTTCCTCACCTACAATATGAAGTAAACTACGATACTACAGTCCATTTTGCCTTACATCTAAGTTTTTTACTGTTGCAAATAAAACAAAGAATTGTTTTTTTATTTGCACTTTCCTTCTAGTTTTATACTATGTGGGAGTTTGAAACCTTCCATTCCATTCCTAGTTTGCAAACTTTCAAAAAAGCCTGGATGAACAAGTTATTTTGAGAAATTGCATCATCACCTGAGCTTTATTCAGATTACCTGCTTCCTTCTTCAGAACACACAGTCTGAAATGTGAGAATTCTCCTGATCTGCTGTCTCAATATGAGCAGAAGGTCGGTGGAACCTGCAGAAAAATTCTAGAAATGTTCATGGTACATGATGGGAAGTCAAATAGGAGTTCATTGGAATAATTGTGATGATGACTGAAATGAATATGAACATCAGTTGGATGAAGGTAGGGGATAGAAACAACTCCTAGGAAAGCAGTTGGATCTCCAGAACCTAATTAGATTTTGCAAGATTTGATTAGTGTCAGTTTCTTTTATGTTCAATCTTCTGTATTTAGGTGTTATTTTGGTGGATAACTTTGAAATGAAAACTGGTTGACAGATAAGATCCTTTCTTTAAAAATTAAAATTGAAGATCATTTTATCAATTGCCAAGAAGGATCTAACAGAATGCATATCTTTTACACATAGGCTACCATCCAGGACAATGTCGCACTGGTTCCTATTATCAGTGGGCTAAAGGGAGTCGTGCATCATGGTGAGTAAGCTACTTAAGATTTCCTTTGACAGAAAAAAAAGAGATTGGAATTAGATCCTTCATCTGTTGAGTTATTTGCAAGAAATTCTGAACATATAGAGTTCATCCTTATATAAGTATTATTAAATCTGAAATACTTGTGCATAGATTAAATCCATACTTGTAATTACTATTATTAACATTTAATATTTTTTATGAATACAATTAATCATAGTACATATGTCTTGTAATAATAAATCTTTAGTTATAAATTTGCTGTAACTTTTCAAAGTCCTTCTAGTGTCATGGTACATTTTTATTTTCAAGTACAGTAATTGGGAAAAATATACAACCTTAAATAAAAATATTTTCAGTAAAATTATTACAGTGACATACAATTGTTGAAATTCTGAAAGGCAGTAAGGATTGAAGCATGTTGAATAACTTCACATTGATGCCACAATATGTCATGTTTACATATATAAAGACGAATAGCATAAACATGAAATAATACTGTCATAATGCCATCAGTGTGCATGGTATTTAGCAAATTAGAATTTGCTCAGGAGTACATAACAACACCAAACTATAAACACAAACAGGTAAATGCATATATGAATGACAGAGATTTCATTTTGCCAAGGTAACATTGTTTCAGACATGAAATAAGAGCTCTTTTTTATTCATGGGATGTAGATGTTGCAGGCTAGCCAGCATTTAATGCCCATCCTTAATTGCCCTTGACAGTCTGTACTTAAGGTATTTTAGCTTGGTATGCACTGTTCAATAAGATAATGGTTTAAAGTATTTGTGTATACAACTCAGTTAGTTGGATGTGGCTGTATTGGGTGGTCAGACCAAGTCAAACGACCCACAATGGTTAGTGAATGTTACATAAAGAGAAAATGAAACCGCCATTCCTAAATATTTCCATCAATATTTCAGAAGTAGACAAATATGTGCAGGTATATAAAAGTGGATACAATTCAAAAGTCAACTGATATAAATAGACACTTAGCAGGTTCTTCAGCTGCTGTTATTGGAGTATTGCGTACAGTTCTGGTCACCGCATTATAGGAAGGATGTGGAAGCATTGGAAAGGGTGCAGAGGAGATTTACCAGGATGTTGCCTGGTATGGAGGGAAGGTCTTATGAGGAAAGGCTGAGGGTTTTGAGGCTGTTTTCGTTAGAGAGAAGAAGGTTAAGAGGTGACTTGATAGAGACATACAAGATCATCAGAGGATTAGATAGGGTGGACAGTGGGAGCCTTTTTCCTCGAATGGTGATGGCTAGCACGAGGGGACATAGCTTTAAATTGAGGGGTGATAGATATAGGACAGATGTCAGAGGTAGGTTCTTTACTCAGAGAGTAGTAAGGGCGTGGAATGCCCTGCCTGCAAAAATAGTAGACTCGCCCACTTTAAGGGCATTTAAATGGTCATTGGATAAACATATGGATGATAATGGAATAGTTTAGGTTAGATGGGCTTCAGATTGGTTTTCACAGGTCGGCGCAACATCGAGGGCCGAAGGGCCTGTACTGCGCTGTAATGTTCTATGTTCTATGTTCTATGTTCTATGTTATAAAAGCAGATTGAGGACCAGTAATCAGGGAACGTTAGCCCATCCTTTCCATGCCCATGATGGACAGGAGAGAATTGGGTGGAGAATAACATATTAAAAATGTGAAATCCAACTTTGCCCCACCGTGAATGTGCCTACTTCAGGTTTTCATGCATTGGGTTTTGAGAGGGTCAGAGTTGCATACTCTGGACAGGCATGTCAGTGACTTTAATATTTAGATCCTTAGATTTTTGCAGCCATTGACTGAAAGAAAACAACTGTGAAACGACACATGAACTGCCAGATCCAGCACATAAATACTTGAAGCCAGGAAGGCCAGTAGTGCTTGCCCCCAGTGACTCAAACTAAACCTGCTGCAATATATTTTCTCCCTTTTCCTTGTCAAGCTCTCTTGCACTCTACTATCTTACACTTCCATCTTTTTATCCCCTGCTCCCTATCCAATCCCTGCTCCCCCCACTCTCTTTCTGTCTGCTGTCTTCCCCTTGCTCTCTTTTCCCTGCTTTCTTCTGTGCTCTTACACTGTCTTCCTAAATTCCTTACCCTGCTGTCTTCTCCCACTCTCCATCCCTTGTCTTCTTCTCCCTCATCCTCACCTGGATTTATGCTCCAGAAGAGGTGCTTAGAATCTGGAAATCTCACGTTTATTGTGTCTGCAATGGGAAGAGGTGCCCGAAATAGTGCGACCTCATTCCATGGGTTTGGAAATGCAATTTGTGGAAAAGAATTGAGCCAGCCACCTCTGAAAATGTTTCAGAAGTAGAATGAGGTGAGCTGGTTAAAAGGCCACCTCACTTCTCTGGGACTTCATCTTTTTTAAACATTAACCACTCTAGTCCTCAACCCATGTGCTTTATTTCCTCTCACACTCCCCCTTCCCATTCTTGCCAATCCATGCCTCCCACCTGCCCCCAGTGGTTAATAAGAAGGAAGAAATTGGAGCAGGAAAGAAAGAGAGCTAAAATTATTGTAAAGCAGATTGAAAGAGGTTCTGCAGATATTTAAAAATTTAAAAAGTTAACAAATTGAACATTGGTCCTATAGAAAATTCCATAGATTCCTAGCAGCTAATGTGACTCCTTTATTCGAAAAGAGGAGGAGACAGAAAGCAGGAGGCTATAAAAGGATATAGATCGGTAAAGTGAGAGTAAAGATCTGGCAAATAGACTATAATATGGGAAAATGTGAAACTGTCCATTATGGCAGAAAGAGTGAAAGGAACCCAATTATTCACAAGGTGAGAACTTGCAGACATCTGAGATGCATCAGGACCTGGGTGTCTTAGTGCATGAATTGCAAAAGGTTAGCATGCAGATACGGCAAGTAATTAGGAAAGCTAATAGAATGTTATTATTTATCATAAGGGGAATTGATTACAAATGTAGAAAGGTTGTACTTCAGTTATACAGGGCATTGTTAACAGCATATCTGGAGTACTCTTACGGTATTTGTTTCCCCATTTTAGGAAAGATGCAATTGTGTTGGAAGCAGTTCAGAGGTTTACTAGACTAGACTGACTTGATTAGAACATATAAGATCCTGAGGAGATTTAACAGGATAGTTATGAGATCATTATTTAAAAAAAATAGGGGTCAGCCATTTAAGGCAGAGATAAGGAGACTTTTTTTCTCTCGGAGATGAGAGCCTTTGGACTGTTCTTCCTTGAAAGGCAAAAGAGGTAGAATTATTAAATATTTTTAAGGCAGAAGTAAACAGATTCTTGATAAGCAAAGAGGTAAAAGGTTATCAGGGTAGGCACAAATGTGAAGTTCAGGTTTAAATCAGATCAATCATAATCCTACTGAATGATGGCATTTACTTGACAGGCCAAGGAGCCAACACCACTGCCTAATTAGTATATTCGTGCACCTGCATGCCAAGTCATGCTCCCAGTCATCTCATAGCCCTTTATAGCCCCTACACAACATAGTTAGAGACAATCCATGCCCTGCACCCACCCCAAAAACCCCTGACACACCAATGCCAATTTAGTGCCTACTCATGACTTCCCAGCCATCACCGTTTTCCCTAACACTGTCCATGCCGAAAACACCCAAGAGCCACGTTGAGGTAAGACATCATAAACATCTAAATATCCATTACGTAGTTCACTGAATTTAAAAGAAGTTCCCCTTTGTGAAAGCTTATCCCAAGCATTTAAATTCCCACAAGTATATAATTCCTTAGTAAAACAAACATCTGTACTCATAAGAGATAGTAGGAACTGCAGATGCTGGAGAATCCGAGACAACAAGGTGCAGGGCTGGATGAACACAGCAGGCCAAGCAGCATCATAGGAGCAGAGAGGCTTGAGGCTGCTTGGCCTGCTGTGTTCATCCAGCCCTGCACCTTGTTATCTGTACTCATAATACTCACATCAAAGCCAAGTAGTCTTCTAATAACCTTTTGTGAACTGTCATTTAAGCTGAGAACTTACAGCTCCTGTGATAATCATAAGTTGTGGAAAGCAGTAAAGCATTAATATTGCTATGATGATAGCACTGAAGGCTATTGAAACTGTTTGAACTTTCTGTTTTTTCACACAGACACAGGAAGGCTGTTTTATTTTCAATTCTTAAGGAGTAGGCAATTTAATTAACTTAAAAAGTTGAAATTTCCACAGACCTTTTCTGCCCTTCACTAGCATTACCAATTACTCCAAAAATTTGTAACTCTCGTTCAGTCAGGTGAAAATGGAGTTTGTCTGAACTCAGATTTCATCCAGATCTGAGTCGTGTCCTGCCCTTAATTTTCACCATGACCCTCAAGTGAAATTGGCTTTTGCTGGTTATGGGGGCAGGAATTTGGATCCAGGGTCGACATTTTGTATGTGTCAGGTTCCTCAGTACTTTAAGAAAACCCAGGCCTCCACCTCATTTAGATTGCAGTTTCCCTACCCTGTTCGTTCTCTCCCACTATCTCTTCTCCCTCTGCTCTGTCAGCCTGCTGCTGTCCTTCCTTCTCCCTTGTTATATTCCCATTTGTTCCCATCCCATCTTCTCTCATCCACTGCTTTATGTGCATACCACCCCTATTCCCTGCCACCTCTTTCTCCAAACTGCTCCAGCATTTTTTTTGCTTCCTTTCTCATCAATGCCACATTGCTAATGTCTTGTCCCACTGACCATGATATTCTCAATTGCCGTTTTTTCCAATATAGTGTCTTTCTCAAAAATTTTTAGATCAGCAGCATTCAAGAAGAAGAATAACAAAACTCTATTCATTTTTAATACTGTGCTTATTTGCAGTTTCTTCCATTTTAAATTCAAAGTCTATATATGATAAATAAAATTATTGTACCTGACTTGTTCTTTTGTTTCAGATTTCCAACACCTGCCATTCTTTGTGTTTTGTTTAATGTTGAAGCAGTTGTACGATGTATTTCCTCCTTAGTACCGCTCTGATGTTAAAATTGATATCAGTAATTATTTTGTAAA